CACTTTCAGCGCCGCCAGCTCCACCTCTGCCAGCAGCCGCTGTGCGATGCCCAGGGCGCGCAGTCGGTTGTCCCGCCCAGCGAGCAGGGCGGGCGGCGGGGGCCGCGCGCGCGCGGCTGCGCCCGCCAGCCGGTCAGCGGCGGCGTTCCCAAGGCGGTCCTCCTCTGCCATGCCTCGGGCCCTGGCGCTGGCCGCGTCGAGATGCCCTTTGATCCATCTCGCTTCCAGGTGCCCAATCTGGCAGTACGGCGCCAGCAACTCCCAGATCTCGGCGTGCGACCACTCCGCCGGGGACGCCCCCGCCCGGAGCGCCGCGACCCCGTCGCTGACGAACCGCGAGTCGGTTATCACCTCGACGGGGCCTGCGGCGAGGCACACCGCGTGCAGGGCAGCCGTCAGCTCCGCCCTCTGCGCCGTCTGGGGCCCGTCGACCGCCCCTCTGCTGTCCTGTGGGCCGGCAGGGCCGTCGAGCCTTACCCCCCATCCTGCTCTGGCCAAGAGCGGGTCGGTCGGCCGCTCGCAAGCTCCGTCTGTCCACGCTCGGCGACGCGGCGGGCTCGGTGGGGCCAGCAGCCCGGCGGGCAGCGGCGGGGGCTGAATGGGCGCGCGGGCGCACTCGGCCAGCCCGCGGAGAACGGGCCTCTCCGGGAGGACGCCAGTGCAATCCGTGCCAGTGGGCAGAGCCGCGCGGAGGCCCTCCAAGCGAAAGCCAGTGCCCCGCAGAGCAGCCGCCCACGCCTCCTGCCAGCACGGACACCGCCAGAAACGGTGCTCCGGGTCCTCGTCGGCCGTCCGGCAGTGAGGGCACAGCCTCGGTTTGCCCCACTTCGCCGCCTTCGTTTGCGTGACGACGCCGCCAGCGAGCACCGCGCGCAGCGCGCCCGCCAAGTCGGGCGCGAGCTGCCCTTCCTCGAGGAGCCTGCGCGTGGCCCAGCGGTCCACCCCGCCGGCGAGGTGCGCCATGTCGCCCCGGCGGGCGGCGACTGCCGCTGCTTCGCGGCGGGCCCAAGCCGCCAGCAGCACGCCGCGCGTTGCCTGCAGCGAGTGCTCCGCGGGCCGCCACCCCGCCGGCGCGGCCTGGACGCCAGTCCAGCTCTCGACATCGTGCCCAAGCCGTAGCTCCGCGAGGCTGCGCACGGCCGCCGAGATCGGCCCGTTCTGCCGCCCGTGCCCCGCCGCGATGGCGCCGGCTGCGCTACGCCACAGCTGCGCTGGGAAGCGACCGCGGCGGATCGCCTTCGCGATGTGCCAGAGCGGGGCGATGGTCGCCACGGCGGCGGGGTCGAGGCGCCAGCTGGGGCCCAGCACGCCGAAAACGACTTCCGCGGCCGCCCGGAAGCCGCCGCGGCGGCATGCTGCGTGCCGGGCAGCTGCACGGAGCCCTCGCAGCCCGCTCTCAGGCGGACGCCCGCACGCTGCGCCGTACAGGCCGGCAGTCGCGCCCGCCGCCGCGCCCGGCATGCGCCGGCGGCCGAAGCTGACGGGCAGGCGAGCGGTGCGGGCAAAGAGGTTCCTGGCGTCAGCCATCCGCCCTCCCGCCACGGCGCTGCGCCTGGCCTCGCCGGCGACGGCAACCACCCCGAGGTCCTGGGCGGTGGTGCCGGCCGCCACCGCCGCAGTCTGCGCGGCAAGCCAGCGTCGCACCTCGCCTGTGTTGGCGAACTGCTGGCTTTTCCTCCGGTTGAGCTCCCAGCCCATGGCGGTCTCGAAATCCAGCGTCACGGCCAGGGCGCCCTGGACGGCCGCTGCCGCTTCGCCCGCCTCCTCGGCCGGAGCGCGCATCCACAGCGTGAAGTCGTCTACGTAGATGCGCCGGCGGAGCCTTGGCTCCAAGGCCCCAGCCCGCCGGCGCCATGGGAGCGTCAGGGCGCTGAGGAAGAACACGGCTAGAGCGCGCCCTGGGAGTAGACCAGATCTGGGTGACCACGGCGAGCCGATTGCGCGCCCGACGCGAATCCGCCAGCGAGCAGCGTAGGCGCTGAGAGCCGGCTTCGCAAGCCAGTCTGGCAGCCCCGCCCTCCGCAGCAGGCCCGGCAGCGTCAGAATTACCCGAACACGTCAAAGTGAATGTTTCACGTTGTATCGAGGTCATGAACTGTTTCCGCTGTCCCACAGTAGTGGGCCCTGGGAAGGCCCGTCAATGGGGCACCCGGACAGGTTCGACGATCTCACGGGCGATATCGTTTCCATGCTCATTGGCCGCGGCATTGCGGTCCTTCCAGCGGAACAATGGATCGACGCCCAGGGCCGTCCGTGCGAGAACGCCTGGCACCCACTCAAAAATGTCAACAACCTTGTGCAGTTGACACAGCAGTTCATGCATGCCGCCACTCTTTGAAATCTGAGAGCGGTTCCCATGTCGCTGTCGAGACAGCCTTTCCCCTTCCGCCATCTCGTGGTTCAGCCAGTCAACGACTTCCATGGACACGCCCAGGCCGAGGAGATGCCAGGAGCACCCCGCATGCGCCTGGAGCTATCCACGCAGTACCAGCGCCAGCACGGTCTTACTGGACTGCAACTGAAGGCTCTCGGCGAGCATGAGTTGGCAACGTGGATGAATGAACTGGCCACGCGCGTCGGCATCCGAGGACACGCCACCATCATATACCAAGTCAGTGTTTACTGCTTATGGCGAGGACTTGGATGGCAAAGCTGTCTCTTCGGAAGCGGAGTGGAGGTACTATTCTTCGTGCGCTACTTTCTTCCCTCGCTTCAACGGCCTGATCAACGATTCCCCTACAGCATGGGCATCGTGGTCGTCACCTGAACAGGCCTGCCTCAAGACCACGGCCAACAGGACCTACCAGGTGCGTCACGCTGCCACATGGCTGGTCTTCAAGCAGTTTATCGACAATATCAGATCGCAGGATTGGATTCCTTGACCAGGCACGTAGCATCAACGCAGACTGCGTCGACAAACTCACAGCATGGTTTCGCGAGCAAGCCGGCGCCCAATCGGACGTACCCCCGGCCCGTCTTCCGGAGTCGCAGGATGCGCCTGCTGCCGCATCGGTGGTCGTGCCGCCGCCCCCGCCTACGCACCCCCCTCCGCTTGCGGATGTTCCGGCGGTGCGCGCGACATCCAAGCGGCCGCCGCCCGCGCCGCCCACGCCGCCCGCGCCGCCTACGCCACCCGCGTCGGTGGCAACGCCCGCGCCCATGCCGCCTCAGCCGCTCCTGGACGTTACCCCAAAGGAACTCCCTCCTCAATAGTTAGCTTCCGCCTTGCCCCGCCTTCCTCCACTCTACTCGTCCTGTCACCCCCTCCTCTACCTTGCCTCCTGGCACCACCATATGCAATCCATGCACCAGATGCCCGACCCCATGAGCCCTGGGCCGCAGCAAACACAGGGCACCTGGGCCCCGAGCTTCACCAGGAGGCTCCAGGAGTTGTGCAGAAATCCCACGAAGGCCCCACGACGGCCCCAGGAGGACCCCACGATGCCCCAGGAAGTCTCTAGCGGCACAACGAGGCCCCCCCAAAACCGCCAGAGTGCTCACCCAGGATTTCCACGAGGGCCAAATCAAGCAAACACCAAAACGATTCTCGATTTTTGTTTGGGGAGTTCCCATGTGTTGCGAACGTGTGGTTCCCAGATGGTCTCGGAGGCCCAAGTTGTCCATCCAGAAGAGAGTTACAATATTGCCCCAGGATGGCCCAGGACTGCCGCGAATACCAATCCTAAGTGCGGCTTCGGACACCAAGGCGTGTGCTTCCAAGCCAAGTGTTCGAGCATTCGGACTCGACCCCTCTGGCGCGCAATACGCTTGGCCTCGTGGCCTGTAGATTTTGAGCGCACGCGAAGCGGGCGATGGTTCTAGTAGAATATGCTGCAAACGTGTTGCGGACGAATGTGCGCGGTGTTCATGCGAGAGCTTCATTTTGAATAGGAGCCGCCTTCCATCCATGAGGCTGTTGCAAGCTTTGAAGACGAGCGTGCGCGCTGCGAAGGCGAGCGCTTCATTTTGAAAACAACCCCCAATCGGCGAAATTGTTTGCAACCTGTTAAGACCAATGTGCGCGGCGCTAGGGCGGGAAATTCATTTTGGAAATGGCACCCTTCATCTTTGAAGCTGCTGCGAACTTCATGGCGAATGCGTGCGGCGCTAAGACGAGAACAACATTTTGAACATCACCCCCTCCATTTTTGAAACTGTTGCGAACACTCAGAACGAACGTGCGCGGCGCTGGATCGAGAGCCACGTTTTGAAAACGATTCCCTCCATCATTGAATCTGTAGCACAGTTCAAGCTTCAGTATTATAGACGTGAGGAATGCTCAGGCGAAGGTTCGGCCCGCCCTACCGACACGTCTTGGGGGTGCGACAGGGAGGAATCGTGTAGAAGAAAAAGGATGGAGGAGGAGTAGGAGTAGGAGTAGGAGTAGGAGTGGGAGAAAGAGGAGCAGGAGGAGGAGAAGGAGGAAGAGGAGGAAAGAGCAGGGGGGAGTGGAAGAGGACACAGCGGATGAGGAGGAGGGGGAATGAGCAGGAGGAGCAGCAACAGGAGGGGGGCATCCCCGTACTTCTTTGTCGCCTCCTTTTCTTCTGCTGCTGTTCCTCTCTTTTTTTCTCCACACAGCTCTCCTCTCGCTTCCTCTCTCTTCTCCCTCTCGTCGCCCTGCCTCTTCCATCCTGCCTTCTCCCCTTTCTCCTTCAAACGTTGGCTATGAGATAAATTTGCGCATGCTGTCCGCGAGCCGAACTTGTCTGCGCCATGAAGTATCGCTCCAGCCCTCTTGCCCCCAATCCAGCTAGATGCCCCCCTCCAAAAAAAACAACGATTCCTGCCGTGCACGCCTTGCCTCCTCTCTGGTGCGCTGCCCCCCCTTCGGCGCCCCCAGTACCGCCTCGACCTGTCCCCCTCCCTGCCCTGCTCCGGTCCTTCCCCTACCCTTCCTTGCTCCCCCCTTGCCCTTCCCGGCCCTGCCCTGCCTTCTGTCCTTCTGTGCCTTGCCCTGTCCGCCTGCTCCCTGCCACTCCTACCGCGGCTCGGCGCAGGCGTCCCCGGTTGGGCCTTCCCGCAGGTCTGAACGCCTTTGTGCGTCCGCCCGTGCGCTCTTTCTTTCAAGGGCGTGCTCGTCGTCACCATCGTCGTCGTCGTCGTCGTCGTTGTCGTCGTCGTCAAAGGTTTGCTTCTAGAGAAAATGTGTTTGATGTGTGGAAACGGTTCCGGGCGCTGTCGCCTCGACGCCAGCTATATTTTCACTGAAAGCGACGGTACCACTTGATCGCGGGTTTGCTTCCAAATTCTGGCTGTTGAAGCCCAAGCTACGACGACAACGGCTTCCGCTCGATATTTCCTCACACTTTACTCCGAGACGGCACGCCCTGGTCAGAGAGGGGCCCAAACTCAGGAACGGCGTTCTCTTCCGAGATTTGGTTAACATCCATCCAAATTGTTAGAGGCCCAGCTATGACGACAACGGCTCCAGCTCGATACTTCGCGTGACATGCTCGCATGCGCCCTGGTCATATGCATTCTCACGCTCAGGCATGGCGCTTTCGCCAGACACTCTTTTGACATTCATTCAAGCTGGTGAAAGTCCAGCTACAATGAACATAACTCCCGCTCGATACTTCCCCACAGCTTCCTCCGAGACGCCAGGGCCAGTTCGGATTCAGGAACGACGCTCTGGCTCGAGACTTCTTTGCAGTCCACTCAGGTTGATGGAGGCCCACTTGCGACGACGGCGGTTCCCGCTCGATACGTCTTCACAAGTTACTCTGAGACGCCCTAGCCATAAGCATCATCGCACTCAGTAATGGCTCTTTCGCCCGCGACGGCCTCGCAAGTCGTTCGATTTTGCGAACTTTCCAGCTGAGGCGACAACGGCTCCCGCTCGATGCGTCCTCACAGTGTCGTCCGAGACGCCCTGGAGGTCCCCAAACTCAGGAGCGGCGCTCTCTCCGGGGCCTTCCTCGCAATTCACCCGTGTTGGTAGGTTGCCCGCGGGCGTTTTAGCTCGCATGACGGCCATGGCGGCGGGGAGCGCACACAGAGTGCACTGCGGAATGCTTCTCTCAGGAGCTGGTATGGAAAGAACCCCCCTTGACGTGGGATCACATGTCCGCAGGAAGGTCGTCGTTGTTGTCGCTGTTGCCGTCGTCGTCCTTGTCGTCCTCGTCGTCGTCCTCGTCTTCCTTGACGTCCTCGTCATTGTCGTCATTGTCGTCGTCGTCCTCGTCTTCCTTTCCGTCGCCGTCTATGTTGTCGTTCTCTCTTCATCCTCATCATCCTCGTCCTCGTCTTCGTCGTCCTCGTCGTCCTCGCTCTCGTCCCAGTGGATAGGGGACTCTTCAGCTCGCTGCCGAGCTGATTCGTGCCGAGACCATCCGAGCTCCCGCTCGCTCTACTTGCGGCGCAAGCCGTCGCCTCCTAGGTGCAGCGCCCGCCGGAAACGGGAAGCCCCCCCTCCGAGCAGGTGCCCGCGGACTCTCTTCCTCCCTCTTCGCTCCCCGCTCCTGGATCCTCGTCCTTCCCGTGCTGGCTTGATGATGTGCCCCTGGCTCACCTGTCCTGGAGACTTCCTGTGCCCGGGGTGGGCTGCAGGCGCATAGCGCTTCCCGCGTGCATGCAGCGCTGCTGCGGTGCGGCAGTCGATTTTTCAGCCGCGCAGGATTTATCAAGCTGGGGGGACAACGCAACATGCACATACTTGTCCCGACCACTCGTCCTGGCCGTCCTTCTCCCCCATCTCTTCCTCCTGCCAGTTTTTCCTCCTCCTGCTCCTGCTGCTGCTCCTCCTCCTCCTCCTCCTCCTCCTCCTATCCTTATTCCTTATTAGAATATACTCCTACTCCCCCCTCAGGCCGGCCATTAGGGGCCGCATCCGGGGGGTCCCATCCTAACCTGTAAAAAACAATACAACATCAACATTTTTCTTATTTTTTCCTCTCGACATGGACGTCCTGTCGTCCACGGCGATAATCCATTGCAAAAAATACCACAAAGAGCACACGCGCGCGTTCATGTCAGAATCCTACCGAACACCGTGTGTTTGCAAGCATTTCAACATAAAAACATCAAAAACCCAATGCTTTTTCACAAAAATTGTACAAATTTCCCGCCCGGGCTCTCTTGCTGAAATCATAGGAAAACCATAGGAATCTTAAGAATTCTGTCAAATCCAGCGATTTCACGTCATCGCGCGGTGCACTCGCGATGCTCTGTCATGCACCCAGGCCGCGAATCCTGTGCAAAAAATACCACAAAGAGCACACTCGCGCGTTCATGTCAGAATCCTACCGAACACCGTGTGTTTGCAAGCATTTCAACATAAAAACATCAAAAACCCAATGCTTTTTCACAAAAATGCTTTGGGGTGTCCTGTCAGACCGTCGGGCTTCCTCCGGCCACCTCTGGCTTCCTGCGGTGTACCGGGCCATTCTCGACTCGTCTGGCAATGCGTGCGCGGCATTCAACACGCGCTCGCCAGTTCCCGTCGGCAACCGCCATCGCGGCCGCATCAGCTGTACCAAACCGGCTGGCCGGTGTGACTTCGGCCCCCAGTTGTGCCAGCTTTGCTTCTTTTGTTGTGGGAGGGCGGGTGGGACTGGGCATGCCATGCTTGACTCGCTCGAGCTGGCTAGCTTGACTCCCACTCCCACTCCTACTCTTACTCCTACTCCTACTCGTATTCCTACTCCTACTCCTCTTCCTCCCCTCCCCCTACGTAATAGGCCATTTTGACCCATGGTACTGCCGCTTGCCGAATCTCAATCCCCAGCTTTCAGGGTGTTCTGCGCGACCTGTGCTCCCCTCGGATTTCGATACCCCTGGCTAAACTCGGTGCGGCCATCGCCGCTGGCAGTGACAACCTCATCGTCTGCTCGCCGTTTTGTTGAGGTCAATTTGGCCAAACTTCGCGTTCGTCGACCTCACAGCTCGAACACCCACCATCGCCTTCAATCGATGCCGGATGGCAGGCATTCCCGCAAGGGCGCGGCCTTGGGAGATGTTGAGCCGTCATGGCAGGCGTTTGAAGGTCAGTTTGAGTTGGCCCCTTGGAGGTAGATGCGCCGTCGTGCTGCCTCCTCCTCCGCCCTGACTCCTTTCTATGTTCGTGCCCCTTTGTCGCAGGTGCTGGGCCGCTCGTGCTGGACGGATCAACTCCAGAGTCCAGAGTCTTCTTCATCCTCCTCATTCCCTCCTCCTCGTCCATCTCCTCGTCGCCCTCCGCCTCCTGCCGCCGCCGCACCGGCACTCGGGTCTATCCGCAACTGGCCGCGCGCAAGCCCGAGGGGCGCCCCACCGCGAGGGCGGGCCGTCCCCGGCGCCGGGGGCTGCCTGGGGACGTGGCAACGACCGCGCGCCCGCGACCGCAGGCGCCCCCCTCCGCCGTGCCCTTGCGGGCAAGAGGCTGGACGACGCCGTCCCAAGAAGACTCCAATAAAACCCATGCATTACAGTACGTATCGTAGGGAGGGGGCGTCGTCAAAGCCCCGAGGGGGAGGAGTGCAACCATTTGACGTCTAGGTCACTCCACCCCCCCGATGAGAAGGCGGAACCCTGACAGAATCGGGAATTCCAAAGTGGCGAAGAAGACAGTGTTGTCCGTCTTCTTTGGAAGGTTGCAGGTGTACTTGTTACGGGCACCTTTTGGCCATCGTCTTGATGGCGCTTCCGCTTTCTGCTGCTAGTCCATCATCAAATTGTACATGCAAGTTATGATTGTCCATTTAGCTGTGAGCCTGGTGCCTCTCTGTTCCCCATACGCCTCCAGGAGCAGGAGAAGGAAAGGGGCTTGTTCGGGTAGTAGCGCGCCGTAGCGTGCTCTCAGACGCAGTCGTAGATAGCTGCGGATCCTGGCGGCGTCGCTCAGGATGGACTGGCGCATTTGCTCACTGGATGCGGACGTAAGCTGCATATCCGTTGCGACCGACTCGGTAGCAGTACATCTGATGTCGAGGAGTCCTCTCCGTCTCCATCTCCTTGTTGGTGTCCTCCCGCCACTCTTCCCCACCAGGATCGCTTGCAGGCCCTCCTGCACCGTCTCCTTCGCCTGCAGGTCGCCCTCGTGGTCCTGGTCCGGCTGATGTCGGCTCCGACGCTGGTGCCGGACCCACTGGCGTCGGGTTTGACGCTGATGCAGTGCCTGCCGTAGCTGGTCCCACTGATGTCGGTTCTGGCGCTGTGGGGAAGGTCCCGCTGGTGTCGCGACCGACGCTGTTACACGTGCCGTTGGTGCAGGTCTCGCTGGTGACGGCTCTGGCGCTGGCGCCGATCCCGAAGATGTCGTGACTGAGGCTTGTGTTGGGTCCGCAGGTGTTGGGCGCGAGGGTGACGGCTCTGACGGTGACGCTGGTCCCGCTGGTGTCGGCGCTGACGCTGGTGCCGGTCCCCCTGGTGTCGGGACCGACGCTGATGCTGATCCCGCTGTAGCTGGTCCCGCTGGTGTCGGACCTGACGCTGGAGCTGGTCGCGTTGGTGTCGAGGTTGATCCTGATGCTGGTGTCGTTGGTCCATGTCCCGCTGGTGTTGGCTCTGGCACTGGCGTTGGTCCCGCAGATGTCGTAATCGAATGTGGTGTTGGCCTCTCGGGTCTTGGTCCCCGGGGAGTCGGCTCTAACGATGGTGCTGGTCCCGAAGATGTCGGCGCTGACGCCGGAGCAGTGGCCTCTGGTGTCGAGACTGACGCTGATGCTGGTGCCGCTGATGCGAGTCTCGCTGGTGTGAGCTCTGACGGGGGCGCTGGACCCGGAAATGTCGTCCCTGAGGCTGGTGTTGGTCCGGCGGGTGTTGTTCCCGAGGGTGTCGGCACTGACGCTGCGACGACCTCCTCGACGACCTCCTCAACGAGCACATCTTCCTCTTCCAGAACCACCACCTTCTCTCCGACGACCACCTCGACGACCTCGACGAGCACATCCTCCACCCCAGCCACCACGCCAATCACGACGCCGACCTCCATGACGTACGACTCCTCCGCCACCTCCTTGACCACCTGATCCTCATCCTTGGCCTGGAGGTCGCAGCCCTGGAGGCCGCCGTAGTCCTCGTAACCGTCGACGCCGTCGTGGCCGGCCTAGC